CCTTGAAAAAACAAGTGATTAGTGTGCTTGGCGTAGCAGGTTTTTTTTGACTAAGTAGTAACCTCCCAGGATGAAGTCTGAACTCTTCATTCGGTAGAAGAAATGTTTGAGAGCTACAAATGTTGCCTAATTTGCTCTTAATTGAACACTTCCAACTTTCTGCCTTCATCCATGAAGGAGAATAACAAAAAAGAATAATTTTGAACTCCACAGGGTATGTATTATCTGTATTATTAATATTTTTGTGGTCATAGTAAATTCTGATTCTAAGTTTAGTGCTTTTGATGCTTAAAGACAACAAATGTTCTGTACCTTTTAAAAATCAGTATGCTTGATACCTGAATTAATACAAATAAAGAACGTAGGCATTTTTATTATCTGAAATAGGAACATGAATTTGGACAAAAAATTCCTGTGGTTACATTAACTTGGTATAGTGGCAGTTGCATTTTTGTGTGTGTGTGTGTGTACTACTGTTGCCTAAATTTTTCCAAATGCTAGGAGAAAGCACACTTTCATGTTGTCTGCATGATTAATTGCACAAGTCAGAAATATACGTGATATTTGCTGTAGAATCCTATTAAGTGGTTAGAATATTAATGTTGTACAAAGGATGGCTTACTACCTATCGCTATTTGCATCATTTGTTTTTTGCATGTACAGATAAAGCACTCCCTTATAGCTTTCCCTCCATGGTAATTTATAAAACACCCTAGTTTGATATTCTGTGTGTGCATATATTTAAGTAAGATTCATATTACTTATAGTTCATAGTGGAAAACATACATTTGTGGTAAAAGAATGTGCATAAGAGTATGTAAGTGTGCGTAAATGTTTTTACAGCTGCACTTCAATGTAACTTGTTCTCTGTTTACAGAATCATGCAATGCATTTTGGTTAATAACAGAACTATTAAACTTTGCTCTGAAAAATTAGGTACCATTACTAGCAGGTAGCTAATGAAACCAATCAATTTTCCTCTTCAAATAGGCTTTGCTTTGAACAAGATGCGCTCATATCATCACTTGAAAATTACGTAAGATATTAACACCTTGTGTCTTAACCTACATGCTTTGCCTTATTTATGAAGGCATTTTTGCATAGTCCACATTATTCGCACAAGAATATATTAAATCTGAATTTGCTGCTTGTGATACTTTCTGCTTAATAAATTACTTGGATTTTTTTTTATTTTAAAACTGTGACTATTGGCTCCCAAGCCCATGTATGGGGGTGAGGGGGAAAGTGTTAGTTTGTTAGTGGTGCATAATTCTGTGGGAGCTAGGACTCTGTGGTTTTTGTGGCGCAATGTAGGGCTACTTCCAATTAATGTCAATATTAATTGAAGGACATTGTCAGTAAAATATTTCTCTCCATTTGATCTACATTGAAGTTAACTGATACTGTAATTTTTCTACTCATCTATAAGTAGGCAGTGCGTAACAAATTAAGCAGTAGGATACAATACCTACGTGTTTATTTCTCTGTCTTTGACCAAGTGCCAGGGGAAAGCATGAACACAGTCCCCCACTACCACAAATTATGCAGTCGAGTTTCCCGCATTTGGGGAAATCGCAGGGGTCATCACACCCGCAGTGGAATGGATGAGCCTGGGAAAACCACTTTCATGATCATAGTATCTCCCCTGCCAATACCTATGTGGTAAGATGCAGCTATAGGCACAGTTGGGATGTATGGTACAGCCAAGTTCTTCTCAAATACCAAAGTCCGAGAATCCCTGCTGGAGAGAGCGGCTTGTTGCCATTTTATATAAAGACTAGGAAAACATGATTGTCATACTTGGAATGGCTTAAAATATTTAATAAATAAGTAACCACTATTTCTACCCTACTGTATTTGTTTGCAGAACCTAAAGGCTTGGCTACACGTGCGAGTTAGAGCACATTAAAGCAGCCCCAGGCGCCCTAGCTCACTACCCGTCCACACTGGCAAGGCA